ATCTTTCTCTCCTGCCCTCTTCGGTTTTCTTTATGTCTTGTTTTTCTTTTTCTTGCTAAGGCTTGTCAGGTGACTACTAAAACTTCCTGAGCGCCGATAGCGGCCTGGTGTGTGTGTGTGTGTGTCCACACCTGCTTCAAAGGAATTTCAACAAGGCAGGGGAAACGGCGCGAATCAAAAAAGAGGCAGGGGGGCAACGGCCAGTCTTCTTACGTTGCCCAACGAAGCTACAGAAGACTGGTGGAAGCATTCAGGGACGCCTGAATGTGTACCTGCTAATTGTTTAAACCGAATCCTCCTGTTTCACCCATGTTCAAACATTCAACTCTCCGACTCAGCACTTCTTGCGGTTGAATCAAGTTAAGGTCTACAATGCAGCTGGTATTGTAATCGCTAAAGTGGGACTTCATTCAGATCCGAGCTCTTGCAAGCAACCATCTAAGTGTATGAGTTACTGGTCCCCGTCCAATAAAAAGGTGGTTTCTTTCAATTCAACCAATCCGCGCCAAAGTTCACTGAAGCTCCCAGAACCAGAAAGGAGCTTGGCCATGTCAGCCGTTGGAAGTACTTCTTCATGACCCTTCCGGTCACATCGTCAACATCCCGAACTGCTGGGGTTTCCACCTGGGACCCCACAACAAACATGTCGACAAGCAAGTGGAAGGAGGGTTTCAAATGGTCTTGCAAGCCTCTGGGCACCTGTTTGGAATGAAGGAACATGCTTATTATATATATATATATACATTGAATACAAGTACTGGGTGTCAACCCACCTGAAAGTAGTCCTTGAGAAACACATGATCCTGTATTATATATATATATACTAATATAAGTGGTTCTTCAACTACACAAAAATCATCTGGCACACGATCCAAGACTATGAACTGGTTTGAACCTTGCGGACGCTGAGATTCGCCCCTCATGGACCCTTCCATCATGGTATCACTAAAGACCTATGCGCAGGGGGCCCGAAAGTGATGTGCGTTGTGTGTGCGTTTGTCCGTTTGAGGGGTCCAAACATCTTCTGAAGTGCTTAGAGTGACAGTAAAATACAAGCCACGGTACACTGATTTGATCGAAATCTACGTCTCTACAACAAAAACGACTTGTTTGGGACTGATCGTCCAAAAATAGAAATAACCAGCCCAGCAACACACAGTGACTTGAAGCCACTTGGAATGTCGTTTTTCTCACAGGACTGGTGCCGCGAGCGGTGCTCCTGGATCTTCTCCATACTGCGCACCAGGCGGGTCAGGCCACCCACCTGGACGACCGATGGCGACCGGTACTCATGGATACTCATGGCGACCGATTGAGATGGTAACACAAAACAACATGAAATGGTACTGGTGGGGCCTGGAGGGTAGGAGATTTAACATCTAGATGTATCTTGCGCGAGTTGGACCGACACTCACCAGGCGGCGCGAGTTGTGCCCAGTCATGCCAGTTCCCCACAGCCATTTGGCTACATATATGTTTATATTAAGGATTATCCCCAAGCACAGTACCTCTGGATCTTCCCAGTGACCAGCCCCTTGATCCCTTAGTTTGAGGTCACAAATGGTCACAGGTCTGTAAAAGGTCACAAACCCTCCAAAAAGGTTCTGAGGATCCTTTTGAAAACCACTGCTTCCAAAAATATTGCATCTTCGCGAGGCAAGGCTCCTCGCGGACCATCGTCGCCAGCTTCTCCAAATCCTGACGAGTCTCGGGCATCGACGGCATCGGTACAAAATGGAAGCACTTCAGCAAGCGGAGTATTTTAAGTCACGCAATCTCTTGGCACTCTCATAAGTTCAAGAAGCATCATGCGAATGTTTGGATTCCAAGCGGGAGTGGCTGATGTCAGGATGTGGCGGACTTTCCAACCTCCAGGACCTTCTCCGTGGATGCTTCCGTTTGAAACCCTCCCCAACAACACATACACAAACATGTGCTCCCTGGAAGCCCTAGACTATTTGTTACATGGTTGAGCCATTTTCGTTGTATAAAATCCTACTAAGTGATATTAATATAATTCGCTTCCGCCTTTGGCTCGTTGCTGCCGCAGTCTTCGGTTTAAAAAGAATCCGCCACTCACTGGGCGTCCTGGAATTGGCCGCCTCCGCGTCGAAGGGCTTCCAGGAAGTTACACACCTGCCGAATCTTCGTCTTTCCAAGACGTGCGGGTATAGTGTTCGGTAGCTGCCGGAAAGGGCTTTGGAAGAAAGAATCTAAGAACACAAGCATTCTCCTATGTGGGTGCGTATCTTAATAGAATGAACCCCTGGCCCAATGGGTAGACTGGTCTATTTCCGAACCTTGCATGGGGTCGTTGCGAGGTCTCCCTATTTCTATAACTACCCTGCATCTGTGGCATCTACAAAATATTTCAAGTCAATGTGTTTGGTTGGATCCCTAGGAGATTGGGTCACCGAGGTTGATGGTTTGGGCCAGGCAATCACCGATCTCTTATCACCCAGAGTATGTTGCTCTCGCTGTGGGATGTTTAGAGTGGCCCCGTCCCAGAGTAGATATGAAGCTCCGCATTGCTCCACACATGGTCATAGAAGAATGTAATTATCTGAGAGAGAGAGAGAGAAACAAACAAGTTTCGTCAATTTGGTTCAGCAAGTCACCATAGTTCACCTCTATAATAGTCAGTACATGATGCTTCGAGGTTCCAAGAACGATTGACCAGGCGTTGTTTCTTCAACCAAGCCTGCCAAGCCAAGCCTCTAGCCTTCTCACCACAAGAGCTTCCTTTGAGTTGCACATGTCACGATGTACCCAACAAATCAAACTGCACACTGCACACACAACAAATTGTTCAATTCTCTCAAAAGCTCTTGTTCTGTCCAACCACAGTTCGGTTCACTTCTTCACCACATGGTAGACATGAATGATCCTTAAAATGATACAGGATCCTTCGCAGGTCCGATCGGTGAACTGGTCTCACCTGTGAAAGTTGAACTGGTCCCAAGGCCCGCAAAACATGCTGAACCTCAGGAATCGCTGCGGAGGGCCGACCGAGGGCGCACGCACCAAGAGATGGGAACGTCCGTCCATCCGAGGGGCGGAATGGATTGGGGCGAACTGGGCATATGCTGAACCGAACGACCCGAAGCACCTAACTGCTATATGGTTTGGTCCAAAACCCTAAACCGACATATTGCTATGAGGGTTCCATGAGCTTTTGGGGGAAAACAGAGGTGAAGTGTCTGGTCGACTTGGAAAAATCACAAATACTTTGGAGTCGTGCGGAGAAGCATCATGCAATTCAAAGGAACGGATTCACTGATTCATAGTGGCTATAATCAAAAAACTAGATGATTGATGGTTTCCATGCCCTTTGAATTTCAGATAGTGACTGCCCCGGCCCTACAAGTGTTGGTTACTAAGATTAATATGCAAGATTTGGTTGTTATAAGCAAAGTCTATGAACAACAAAATAATCAAGTATGTATCCCGGATGTACGATTACATTTCATGAAACCAAACAACTGTTCGGTGTTGAGACATCTCTCACGCAATATTATTAGGAGCAAGGGCGCTACTAGTAGCTCCTGGCTGTACTACTAGTAACAAGAAGCTACTAGGAACAAAGGGCATCGCTACTGGGAGCAAGGACAAACAAAAACACACACGCACACACAATGGACCCGTTGGGGTGATATGCTGTCTTCCTGCCATGATATGCGACATCCTCCCAACCCCCCGGCGCCCTTTTTTGCTCAAAAGGAATGTGGTGATCCTTAAGACCGGACCGGTGTTTGTTGCCGGTGATCGTGTCTCGCTCGGTCAAATGGAGAGAGGGTATTACTCCCCAGATGAACATGGAACATCGAACCGGAAAACCACGTCGGGTTGGGTGGGAAACCTAGTCTTCCAGTCTGGTCCATGCCATCATCAGATTATCAATTTATCAGGTTCCATGTTCTTCCCGGGCGTAGCAATTCAAAAGACAGCCAGTAGAAGAAAGAGTTCTCTGGCATTCCTAGGTCTGCGGTGTTTTTCTGCTCATGCTGAGCACTCTAAAAAAAGGGAGCCATGCTGAGCACGGGTCGATGAGATGGGGTCTTCCCCTGAGAGTCGCCGGCTGTCCATCGCCCGTGCTTTGTTTTTTGACCAGGGCGGGTGCGTTGCTGTCCTTAGGAATAGGGACTTAGGAATAGGGAGTACCAGGGAGGAACTAACCCTCCAAATCCCCATGACACGCAAGGTGTCACTGTGTCAGTCCCCTGAAGGTTCCACTGGAAACTCTACGGGATTTGCAGCGATCTGCATGTATAAGTGTCGACTAATGAACCCACCCCACACGCAGAGATGTTCAGCACGCATTATCAAGCAAGATCAAGCATAATGTCAGCATGTGAACTTTGTGCTTGAGGTTGGGAAGACCGCAGTCTGCAAGTGTTTGTTGATGTAAAGCGCTTGAGTCAAATGAGTTGGGAAGTTACTCGAATGATCGTAATGGTTCTACTATTTCAGTACCCCCCACGAACAGGTGACGTGTTGTGGTCAGCATTGACTCAGTGATCCTTGGGTTCACAGCATCAATCTTTGGACGCGAATTGAACTATATTGGAGAACTGCCGAGGCGGACCAGCATCCTCCTGGCAGATGTGACGATAGGACATTAGGTGCGGCACATCTCTTTGGGGGCTTTGAAAGCAGCCAATTAAACCACCGCAAAGGCACTGCATCAGCAGTCATATTGGAACACATGAGCCAATCCAAGAGAAAGTGAAAAACACAAAGGCATCACACCTTGAAAACAATGCTCACCACAGTTCATGCTCACTTGCTATGAGCAAAGCAGCACTTACCCGTTATACCCCCAGTTTCCCTTCTTCCACCTCTGTCGATCTGTTTCAATCTCTGAAGCTTTAGCCCCAAGCACACCACCGGCTTATTGCACAATAACTAACACGTTCCGCCATGCTCCAACTGCTCATTTTCAGTGGTAAAAGTGCTGAAAGTGAAAACTATCTATCTGCGGATCGCTATCCTTTTGGTCCCGGCGGCTTCCACAAACACAATTACAACCCACATATTTTCTGGAGAATTCCCAGGTCCTCCTGTATGGGATATGGATATAATACTGCATATAATTTATGTAGAATCTTGATTAATCATTCACCCTCCATGTCGCGCGTAAAACCTCTTGATATGGAAGTGGTTGTCAATCAAGATTCTTCAAGAAGTTTCTCTGTCCCACTGGGATGACCCACCATGTTCCAGGATATTGCTCTTTGGTGTGTCTCTAGTGCAGGATGGCAGGCTTCTGCAGCCATTCGGCACATAGGTCTTGTACTTCTATAGTAAAAATGATCATCCGACCGGGCCGACCCGCCAAACCTGCCTCATCTTCCACACCTCCTCTCCACCTTCCCCCTGCCACTCCACCTGCTCCTCTACGGCGATGCGCTGGCACTGGGTGCCACTGCGGGAACGTCCACGTTCCCGCGCGGCCGTCCACGTGCCGTCGGACCGGCGTACCGCGGCAGGCGGATGGGCGACACCGAGACGGCGCTGGGGGGCTTGGGGATCTCGTCCTGCACCCGACGTCGGGACGTCGGGACGTCGGGGTGCCGCTTCAACCGTGCGAGGGACGTCGGGGTTCGGAGGTCCGAAGTTCGAAGGATGATTTGTTTGATCTCATCTCAAACCCAAACAGAAACTTGTTTTCCATCTATTTCGGGTGGGCCGCACATCCAAATAGTTGTTGTGTGTTTCCTTTCGAAGATGTGGCGAGGCCGCACATCTGTTTCACTCAGTTCCTGTTGGTGGGGTCCATGGGGCAACGGCATCAGGTTGACCTGCAATGACTCTTGGGTACTTTTAGATACTCTCAATGTTGTTCTGAGTAGAACAGCCTAAGTTGATCATAAAATTGGACCACGGACTTCCAATGGACTTCCATGTACCATCAAACTTTCATGTGCGCAGTTTCTGTGTTCTCTTTGTCCTCCCAACAAACTCTTCCCAGTCAAAGTGCATTAAGTACTTGATGAACTGTTTTTCTCTGAACCTCAAAACTCAGCTGAAGGACCTTCACTAATTCAGCTGGTGAGTCAGCTATCGGAACTAGGGCTTGAAAATGACAGCTGCTGAGATGATTGAAAAAAGGGCCTCCTGCTCTTACTACCTGCATTCATTGCAATCCTCACTTGCAAAATAAGTGCTAAAAAACACAATAATTGATGTAATAAGAGAATATTCAAGCCGCTCCACCAAACCATATTTTCCTCTTCGTGTTCACTCGAGGTCTTTCGTTGGATATGGGAACTTGGCGCCACCCGCTCTTGTCGTTGATATCCGCATCTAGCACCCATGCGTGTGCCCTGCGGACCTACAACAAGAGTTGCTCACCCGTAGAGTCGACACCCAGAGCATTCTCCCCCCGGTGGCCACGTTAGGGGCGCTCTGGTGTTGTAACTCTATCCCCCCCGCTGCTCCAGTGCGCCACTCTGGGATGCAGGGGTGTGGGGGTTCGTCCCAACACGCCGGGATCGGGACGTGTCCAAGTTGCTCCCAAATCGCGGACCTCTGAAAAATTAAAACGGGAGGGGCCGTCTGCAAGATTAGATTTGCTCTCCACTCGTTCTATGTAGACAGATGCTTTCAGCCTGGCTACTGTCAGCCAAAAGTCCCCGACGATGGAGGTGCTATCGACCTGGGGTGAGTAGCCGCGAACCAGATTTGCCGAAGCGCTGTCGTTGTCACAGAAGAGAAAAACTGAGCGGTTCTGCAGGCGGGTACGCCAAGTTTCAAAAGCTACCGGGGCTGCCAGAAGCTCCAGCTGGCCCATGAATGACTTGCGCTGAAGCCATTTCTCAACGAGGGTTTCCGGGACAGGCCAAGCCGTGTACCCAGAATATCCGTCGATGGGGTCATGAAGGAAGGCTCGCAATATTCGCTGCGGGACACGCTCGGGGACATCTGAGGCGTCCGTGTACAGCAGAATGGGGTTGATGTGATGGACTTTTAACTCACGGGATGGACTCGTGGAAAGGAAGCACTTCATCTGGCGTAGGGCCAGCATGAGCTCAGCCGTCAAAGTCTCGACTGGATAGGAGGCATATTGTCTGCGACGGAGCGGTCCCGTACAACAGCGCCCCACACGTCCGAAGAGCGTGGAACATAAAAACTGGAACTTCCCGACCAGGCTACCTGCAAGGGCGGGAGAGAGCCGACCCGTACTCAAGACTTTGTCAATGGTGTCTTGGAGGAAGGCCAGGCGAGACTCCTTTGCCTGGACGTGGATAATCTTTTGACTATGTAAAGACTCGGTATTAAAGCAAACTCCCAGGATGGCACATACCTCAGACGGAGGTTGTGACTTCTCCGGGTCTAGCTGGAATCCGAGAATTTGAAACGTTTCCCTAAGGCAGAAAACGGCAGACTTAATGGTTGCAGATGGTTCTACAACGAAAAAGTCGTCGAAGAAGTGGTCAGTGGTCGAAGAGAACAATCGTTGGATGACTCTCGCTATCCACTCTGCCACTCTACAGAAATTTGGCACGGCATGGCCTGCCCCGAAAGGTTGTCCGTACATTTCATGAAGCGACACTTCTCGCTGCTCCGGGTTGTAGACAGCCGTGATTGCAAAACGTACATCTTCCGGTGAAAGTGGGATCTGTCTGTACGCGCCTTTCATATCCTCGGTAGCCATCGTGATCCGTTCAACAGATCCGGCTAACGCTCTACATAGAACGCCCACGTAGTCCACCATGACCATAGGTACTTTTTGCAAGCGATGTGCTGCTTGGTTGACTCCGGATGCAGTATGGTCGTCAATCCTCCTATATTTCTTCTGACCCCCAGTGTCCTGTCCTTGTTCCAGGCCGAAACTCGGCGTAACTTGGAGTGGGCCTGGGTACATGGACCTCGCCTGCTGCAAAGTCATGGCTGGGCCCATGGTGCCGGCTTTGACTTCCTTCTGGGTCTTTTCCCAGATGGCACATGCCAACTCCTTGGACCCCTTTTCTGCCATGTAACGGACTCGGTCAATCATTCGTTCTGATCGCTCATTGCAACCTGTGATGAATTCATCCCGTGACATGATTGGCCTAACCTCCAGTTGCTCGAAGAAAGGCGATTCATGAGCTCTGCCTGTGATCTTTAGTCCTTTCAAACATAGCCCTGGAACCTGTTTGTCTTCGATGCCCAGGAGGTCTTGGAGGCGTTCCATGAGGAGCGTGTTCACCTTAGTACCTAGCTTCTTGGCAGTCCAGGAAGCACTCCTATTAACTTGTGATTGCTCCTCTCTCAAGTCGTTCGCCCAAGTTTTTATCATGTGTAATGCATCCATCCTTCTTGAAATCAAACTCTGTACATCGACGAATTCGGCGATCGCTGAGGCATGTTCTGGCTTGAGCGATTTGAGAGAGTCAAAAGGGTGATCCAAGCACTTTGCCAACCGCAAGTGTTCTGCTGGGTCACAAAGTCCGTCGGCGATCAGTTGCGTCCTTTTGCCGAAGCTGGGTTGACTCCCGGCTTCAACTGCATGAAGCCGATAGCGCCTTTGTGGCTCGGCAGCAAGTGTGGAGTCTGCAGGAGGCTCTGAAGTCCCAGTACGCTGTTCCTGCTTCACCCCTGTTGCATTCGGCGTAAAGATTACTGGGTTTGTCAACGTCTGAGTCTCCGAGTGTTCCACTCCCGGACGTCCCTGGGACTCGACCCTAAGAGGAGGGTCAATATTCCACTCCAGCGCAACAGCTCTGGTCAGGGGTGCGTTGGGACCGGAAAAAATTTCTATGAAACTCGACGGAGAGGTCCCTTCGGTAAATGTCAAACCCTTTGCGAAGGCTTCACAAAAGGCTTGGGGATACTCTCGCTCATCGGCCGTGGCGAAAGAGGACACGCGTCCATTGACAACTGTGGGTCTCCACGGTAAGTGTCTCTCCCCAGTACGAGAACATAAACGACTGTTTTCACAAGTAAGACCTATCCGCTCAACTAGGCCGGGAATATTGTGAATTAAAATTTGTGCCTTCCTACGTTTGCAGGGGCTAAACATGCATGCGTGATAAAAGGTGGTTAGAACCCCGGGTTCCCGCTCCAGCCGCCTCCACGTGGTCAAGTGGCGGGCCAGGGAGTTCATGGGGTTCTCGAGCGAAAAGTAGCGCCCATTTCGATGGGCTTCCAAGCACCTGTCAGCAGCAAGATTCGCCATGTCGGTGTCGAGGGACAACTTCCGTCTCTTTGCTACCGGGAGGTCCTGGACTACACCTGGTATCCCCTCAGGGAAAGACTCGCTCCTGAGGGGTTTAGGAGGGTTTGTTACTCCGGGGATAGGGTAATCCCTCGCCCGAGAAAAAGTGCAGCAGTTGGGTGCCCAGTGCTGGACTTCGTGCAACGCGAGTTCCGAATCAAGTTCGATCCGGTCACGAAACACGTCCCTGCCCCGCAACAAATCCCAAGGACGCGCAACTCTTTTCAATCCTTTTCGGAAGAAGTTTGCCCTCACTCCAGGAACGGGAGTTGCGTCCGTCCTGGGGCGGGCTAGCCCCTATGGCTTCTTGCTGCCGCCCCCCTTATCCTTCGCGGGGTCGACCTTCGACTTTGCCGACGCTGACTTCTCCGCCTTCTTCTGTTCCTTTTGGGCCTTCCTCCAACCAGGAGGGATTTCGCAGCGAGGCTCATGCCGCTTCTTGCAAATCATGCACAACCGGGCCTTGTTCGCGTCATCCGTGGTCTTGTCGCTCTGGTCGTCGAGGTCACGTTTTCGGCCTCTACCGGGCTCTGCTCCGGCCGGCCCTTTCTTCTGCGACCCTTTCTCAAGCCCTTGATCCGGGAAGGACTCCGGTTGGGCTTGGAGGAGCTTCCATAGACCTTCTCCGTCTCCCAGCTCGGCGTAGTGGCGGAGTCCCGCCCCCATTGAGCCTGCACCTTTTGCAATGACCTTCAGGACTTCGTTCATGATCTCCCTATCGCAGCGCCTGGCCTCGTTGATTGTCGGGGGCCTCATCCCATCTGGGACGGTTGCCCTCAAAGTGCCAATCAACTTATCCTGATACAGCACTGTATCTTGATGGAGAGCGACTTCCATCATGTGCCATGCCTTGGCCCTCAACTCGAGGACGTCTTTCAAGGTCAGGATGTCGGCAATCTTTGGAGTCTCCGGGAAGTCCTCGTCCTTCTCATTGAGGGTCAGCTTCTTGTCGGAGATGACCACTTCCTTCTTATCTTTCGGCAACTTCCCAGCACGACGAAGCCTACTCTCCGTCTCCATGTCAACGTATGTTTCCCATGGGAGGTGCTGGAAATTCCCCCCAGGGCCAAAGTTGTTCTGGACCTTGCTCAGGGTATGCAGAGATGGCCTGTCTCTATCTGACATAGGTGGTGGCATCCCGGAGTTGATCGCCTTGTCCTCCAACTCCTGACCCAGGGCAACCGTCACCTTGGACTTTGACTCTGGGTCCTCACGTGCCATCCTCTCCATGTTCCTTTTTGCCACCTGGTTTGCGTAGGCCCACAACTTGCGCAAGCAGCCCACGTCCTCCGAGGAGCGATAGGTTTCCCAGCTTTCCACGGGATGCCTCGGGAACCCGGTCGCTGCTCCCCCTTCTGGACGATATGCCGCTCTAACACGAAGTTGCTTCTTCAGGTACTCGTCGAAGTCGGCGGCAGTAGGGAATCTGAAGGCCATTGCCTCCGATGTATTCACGTTGTCCAAGCCTAGAACCAGAAAATCCGATTCATGGACATCGAACGACGCTGCCGCCCTTCCGAACGCGATGGTAGACTTCGCGTCGGCCATGGCTACTTTAGAATTAGGACTCCCACTCGGGGCGACTGGGTGTAAGTCCCACTCGGGCCGCAGAGAACTCACAGGGGACAACTCGTGCAGACGTCTTCATCTAGCGGCACCTTCAATCACATCCAAACGAAAGGATATGGTTTCCCCCGTGGAACCTCCAGTTTTCTCATGTAAACTTGTAACCCCGAAGGATCTAGTAAACATGCAAACCGGGACCGCATGGCTGCATGGCTCAATAAAAATCAACCGGCGCTTTAATTTTTGCACTAGGTATGAAGGAGGGGGAGATTTTACTCCCAGTCTCAGCGTCCACGGTTTCCTATCCCGCTCAGGCGAAGAGCCTACCTAAGCAGGTGTCCCATGGAACATGCACCTATGCCCGTCCAGCTTCAAGTCGAAATCTGGATCCTCTGGGCTCACGTGGCCTGGCACGGCCTCAGGGCAGCAGCGGCGCGAGCAGCGGATCATGAAGCCCTTCCGCTGTGTCTTATAGTCGCACAGCAGTTTGCATCCTTGGACTCTTCCAAAACAGCGCTCACAAAGGTCATACCCGGTTCCCCAGTCCTCATCGAGAACGAGCCTGGTGAAGCGTTTGCCCACCGCGTTGCATGCTGGCTTGTCTGCCAACACACCCTCTCCAGGCTTATGGATTCTTCCATATCCGGTGGCGAGCTGGATGAAGTGCGGGTGGAAGTCGATGTCGCCTTGCTCTGGGTCAATGAGCGAATCATCGGAGTCGTCGCCTGAGCTCAGAGAGCCGAGGTCCGAGAGCGCAGCATCTGAGAACTCCTGCGATCCCTCTCTGACGAACTCCGACTCTTGGTTCACCAGGCTTTGCAGACCTTCCTCGTCTCCTTCTCCTGCTCCACGAAGCTCGGGTCGCACATCCAAAGCCGCAGGCGCACGCTGGAGCTGCAACTCCGGATCCCCAGTAGCTGGGTTCTCGGTGCAGATCACGGCACGCTCCATGGCTCCTAGGAAAGGTTCTCCTCCTTGGAACTCGGGAACCTTCCCGGATAGGAGGTAATCATTGACGGTGCCCCAGTCTGGCTTTAGTGGTCTGTGATCCAGCGTTACGCCGGTCAGCGATTGAACGGCTGCTCCTCGTCGAATCTGATCCATCACGCGCCACTGCGCCTTCAGGACGATACTCTGCGATTCTCGCAGGTACAAATCGCTCATAGCCTGCGAGGCCTTCTTCCAGGCTCCCTGGTACCTCACTGTGCGTGGAGTAATCCCGAAATGAACCATGTATGAGGGGATCGTGTTCTTGCAAGAGTGCCACCGCAACTTCCTAATTGCAACCTCACTCAGCGGAACATCTTTACCTTGTTTGAGGTCGTCCAACAAGCACTTCTTGACAACGAGCGTATCCTCTGTGATCAAAGGTGGGCACGTGCGGAAGCCTCCCATACCATCCGATGCGCAGCCAACAAAATCGTGCTTCCTCCAACCTTCATCTCCTGAAAAGCCACTCGCCAAGTTGTGCATTCGAATCAGGAGGTCAACCCACACGAAAAGCCACTGATCGTTACTGGCAGTGACTGCCACCCAAGCGGCGGCCCATGGTCTGGGACCACTTTTGGTGTAGGCAGCCTTTGCCCTCAACCCCAATTTTCTGTACGTCCAACCGGCCGGCACCACTCCACCGCGCTCATAGAAGTGCCACCTAGGTCGCTGTGTCGAACACTTGCCTGAATGCAGACTCTCAGCTTCCCGCAGGCAACCCTGGTCTGTAGATCTCTTCCTGAATCCAAAACCACGCTTTCAAGATACTCCAGCATGCCCACTTCAAAAAGGGGGGCTGGGTTGCGTTCAGGCGCCTTTGCAGAGTAGTCATTAGCCATTTTCCGGATCCTAGCGTGCCTCGGCCCCGGGGTCTCGAAGCCGAAGACGCCACCGAAATGCTCGATTGCGTAAACAAGGCTCTGTGGGGTACGAAAACCTGCACCCTCTGAAATGAGCTGGAGGACAAACTTTTGCATGAAGCCTTCGCTAAAGAGATCCTGGGGTGCCTTCTCAGGGTCACATTGCTCCTGGTATGCGTCAACATAACGCCTGAGCAACCTCACATAGCGAAGTCCCGTCCCGGCCGACCGTGGCTCGGTGAGGATGTGGAATCTATCCTCCAACAGCTCCCCACCTTCTACCACTGTCTCTACCAGGTCCATCTTTATCTTCAAAACGACCAGCTCCTCAAAGAGTGCCTTGGACAGAGAACGGAAGGTTTCCAACTTCTCAGTCTCCAAGGGATTTGACCGCGAAGGCAGCTTGATTGGAACATATCCGCCGGCCTGGTCAACGAGCTCCCACTCACGCTCCGGAGGTTCTGCCTTCCTTTTAAAATTCTTGAAGATACCGCTCTCCACCAACTCCGCTATAGGCTCCGAGGGCGTGTACTCGAACTCCGACTCTACCGCCTTCCCGCTCTTCTTATCAACATCTTTTGTTTCAGGCTTCGCCCAATCCGGCAACGTCTCAACTGGCGGGACTGCCTGCTTTCGGAAAGTCATACGGGGCCCATCTCCTTTCCGTGCCCACTCGGGCAAACCTGAGGAGCGGCCTCCCGCAGCCGAAGTTGGAGATACTGACACGGGGCTCCCATGTCCGGGTTTCTCCCAGGGAACTCCCCGGGGTGGTCCAGATCGAGATGTAGTAGAGCTCACCCCCGTATCTCCTCCTGGGCGTGGGGTGGTACTGCTCCCAGGAGTAGACGAGCCAGAGTGGGGAACCGTCTGCTCAAAAGGGGGGAGGGGAAAATCTCCCTCCTCTCCCTTTCGGATCTCGCTCAGAATCTCTCTAGCAGGAACTCCCGCCTCGATCATCTTCGCGATCTCTACGCGGGCCGCACACGCGCCGATGGCCATCAGTCCTGAGGTCTTTCCCAGCTTTGCACTGCCGGGTCAAGGCGACAGAGCTGCCTCGGACCTCTTCATCTGATGGCCACGTCCCCTCTCCCACCCAGCCATTCTCCCCCCGCTGTAAACAACGAGGAGGATGGCTGGTGGGCTTCAAGCCAAAATGGCCACATTTTGGTTGTGCTAGACGAACATTCACGATAGTACCCAAGGGCACAACTGGTGTAAGTCCCCTACCGCATCCATTCGTTCACGGCACCAAATCAATTCTGAAGGAAGAACAACAGGCTGTCATGGTCCCTCGTCCCCCAACCGCAGCGCAGCACAGTGGCCAAGAAACCCGTTTTGTGTCGACAAAGTTTCGCCAGGGCACTTGCTCTTCCATCCAGTGCCGTAGACGGTCTTCCAAGGCCATGATCTGATTCGACCGTCGGAAGTGGGAAGGCAGGGCGAGCTGAACCCGCCCATGGCGGCCGTGCAGGCTATGTGAGAGTCCGGTGGTTTTGGGTGTCGGGTGACCGGGGCAGCATCTTCTCTCCGATGTTTTGCCTCACCCTATAGGTGCCAGATTCCTTAGACACTGGAGCTCAAGGACTGAGATTCACACGGGCTGCAAATTGGGTATTTCACTCCATGTGGGTGATTCTTCTCCGGTGAAAGACACTTCATGGTACTAAGCCTAGGATACATGCCGCCACTTCAATATGCCTAAGACAGGCTGAGGTGTTTCACACTGTCTACCACCAAAAGCGATGCTTTGACGACCTCTTTAGACCCCGAGGAGCGCCCAAGGTGCGCCTGCTTCTCCAGCCGCATCATGCTGCGCTCGTTGGCTGCATCATTCTGCTGCTTAAGGCCTAGCTCTAAGGGCTCAGATTGAAGAAGGGGCACAAACACCTAGTCAAGAACCTGAAGAGTCACGCCTTCCAAACCCAACATAGCCCAGCCGCAAGCACCCTATGTATAGAAAAGGTGGATTTCATCTGCAACTTTTGAGTCTTGCCTGAAGTTCATGTACCAAAAAGAGCTTAGTTACTTGGGAACCCCCTGCAACTAGTCTTCTACTCATGACTCTTGTTTACAATGTACTGTAATGTCTCCTGTCTCCTAGGTCCTCAAAACGTCGAGCTGAAGAAGGCTTCCAACGAAGCCTGAGAGAAAGTCCTTTTCCAGAATGTAGGAACGATCGTTGTTGACGGGCTTGTGGCTCAACCTGATGGACCAATGGCGGAGGATGATGCATATACGATGGAGAGGGGAAGCTTGGGAAGGGGGACTATTTGGAAGCGTTGTCGAAAAAGAAGTGACGTACCGCAAGCGTCAGAACTACATGTAATAAGATGTTGAAGATGACAACTGTTGGCAGTCTGAATACTGGAGGGGGGTTGGCATTTTGAGGAACACATCGGTGTGAAATGGGTGTCAGCTCGAGCATGTTCATCCAACGAGTTCCCGTTTCAGGAGGCCGACCAACATCAACATACCAAATCTAGTGGAGGCTTCACCAACTGAGCAAAACCATGTGACAGAAAAAAACAATCGTTGCTGAAGTGTTTTGTCTACTGCTTTTTTGTTCGCATCACGCTCTTTGAGTTGGTTTCACCAACTGAAAGAAACCATACCCAAACACTCCAGATATATCTCCATATACCTACATTGACCCCAGAGTCCACCACTCCAATTCGGCCAATATGGCGGTCCCATGGGCCCAGTCGTGCTCCCTGGTCTCCTGCAGTGCAGACCGTCCAACGAAGGGGGCAGTACTCCAAGGGGTGTGTATAGCTATACCCTAGGGCTCCTGGCCCATATCCTCAGGTTCGGTGGTTAGACCCCCCTGGCACCCACCCTAACCACCTTCGAAACGGAGGTAGATGGAGACCTAGGGATAGTGAGACCTCCTGGCCACTGGGTACATGGGTATTGTCCAAACCCTCCAGAACGTCGGAACGCCGGTCGGCATCCGAGTGGCAGCTTCAGCAGGTCCTTGAGATCTTGACCTTGGGGCGCTGCACACGCCACACGGACGCCAGTCGCGTAGTTGATATGTCCCTATATACAGGGCTCCAACTACCTCCTGACAAGGTGGTTAGAGTGAGGTTTGGGGGGTCTAACCACCTTCTAGGATATGGTTGGAGCCCTAGGGTGTATATTTCAAAAGGGAGACTGGCCTCCCAGGCCTTCCAACCCCCCCTGACTTCGGATCGGAAACCTCGAGCAGTCTACCCGAACTGACCCCCCCACGGGCGCCACGCGCCCCCAGCGATTCGCTGCACCCGTGCCCCCCCCACTCGCGGTTCAGCGGCTCGAAATCCCTGCAGCGTCGCACAGCTCGGCCTCCTTGTCTGGGTCGTTTAAGAAGGTGGTGAACCTCGGGTGACCGAGGTAGTCGCACGTGCTCTTTTTCGCCGTTATGAGTTCATGAGGTGTCCAACAATTATCTGGTCCACTTAAACAAAAATCAGGTCACTCAAGGTCACTCATGACTTCTGCTTCATTCCAACAGCCTTACTCAGCGCCATGGTCTTAGCATCCCAGACTCCAATGTGCCATGTCCTGCTTCTTGTCAACCGGAACGGTGGACCACTTTGATTCATCTCTGACTTGGTACACTTCCCAACCCCAGTCATACACAGGTGTGGGCAGGACGGGACGCGATCGGATTGGTGGGTTGATAATGGGAGGACCAATTCCAATGACTATATATAACATCATGCTCATTTGACATGAACGCGCAAGAAACCAAATACTGTGTTACAAACTACAGTTTAGTTTAAACATGAAAGTCCTCTTTGCATAGGGTTTTTCGTAGCAAAACAATACAGTAATTGGTCATATAAAAAAGAACTGCATGCTCAAGATATCTCAAGATCCCTTGTTTCATGAACTTGAACCAGTAATATATGTTTTCCGAAGACGTAACACACCCAATTCCGCCTCTTACGCCGGCCTCTTGGCCCGAAATCGTTTTGGACTGGCACCCCGACATGCCTACATGTCTTTGAGATGGGGTCCATATAATACACCCAACTTGGGGGACCATCTACTCTCCATCGGCCATACAGTACACATCATTTCTTTCTTTCATTGCCACCGGTTCCCATGTGTCCAAGAGGCTCGTGGGTATAAATCAACTCATGCTCGCCCGGTTTGATTTCCTCAAAGAACTCTTTCCTGAGTTTCTTAGCGGAGAAACCGAAGACCGAGCGTCGAAAAGCGGACCACCGAGACCGCCAAGCCAGTGAAGAACCGAAGACGAAGCGCCCCGACCCGAAGCATGGGCTATTGATAGACAATCCGAACCCAAGGCGCGGGTATCTTCTTGGGTTATTGGAAGTCTTAGGGTTTAGGATTTGTAATGTGCAGTTGTGTGCTGGACCAACACGTTATCAATTTTAAGTTCGCAACAAGTCAATCAGTCAGTCGTCAAAGCGATTAGAATTCACACATGTGACACAAAACTGGTCCGCTAGCCAATCATCAAGCGGGTATATATATATATTATTGTATATCTATCAAACTCTTGAAGTCACTTGGTGATTCCCTATGCCCCTCTCAGAGATCGAAAGACGGTCCAATCGTTTTCTTTCCCAAAACTCTTCATTGTGGCAACAGGAAAAAAACAATTTGTCAACATCTCCTTTGCAAATCTCATACTGATTGCTCAACGTTAGCAGCTTAGGTCAAAAATGGCGCAAAAATCAAAAGCTACTGAATGATCGATGGTCCATCCAACCCAACCCAGCATTCCAGCATTTCACCACTGAAGTGTTGGTTGTTGATGGTTGATGCCACCATTTGCCACCTAAATTTATTCCGACAAGCTCTGAATATTCCGACAAACTGTTCAGCCATTTCGTTCTATTCTTTACCTCTCAACAACTGTAAACTGTTCATTGCCCAAAATCGCCCCAAACTCGCCTGCCTCCACCCACTCGTCCCGAAATCGCTCTCGCGTCACACGCTTCGTCCCCGTCCCAGACGAACGTTCCGTCCAGGCGTCAACTTCACGAGGGAACGGTCCGTCCGATACGTGCTCTCATCCTTCTCGAGCCTGCGGGTTCAGCGAATCTGCGGTCCGTGAAACTCCACATGGGCCAAAGAAAATTGAAGGAGCTTTGATCACCAAGCACGCCAAAGCCCCCAAGCCCTGCTCCCCAGCCCTGCTTCATTCGACGGTTCTCCACGGTGGTGATCATGTTCTCACTCACGACTGCAGTGAAAATCGCCAGGATCGCCTGACAATGTCGAATTTGGTCGTCGATGTCAGGCAGTCAGTCCTTTCGTGCGAAATCTATTTCGCCGATGCACTGAGGCCATTTGATGAAGAAATTGGAAGGAATCATGCATCAAGAACAGGAGGCAACATGAAACCTCGAATCCGTTCACAGGATGTCTGCGCAGGTCTCTGGTTGAGCCTCCCGCTCTCTGGATTGAACAAGGAGTGTGCAGCGCAAGTAACATAGGCGTCAATGAAATATGTTGCATTTCTTATTCGTTACAACTTATCAAAAGTCAAATTAAGTTTCAAGTCCTTTCGGGCCACCCGTATTCGTGTGGGCAGGCCCACACGAAGTACAGATTTCGTGTTGTGGTGTTCCCCACAAAATCCTTTTTCTGCTTTCAAGGTTTCCGCTGTTTATGGCGGTAGATCCACTGGGAAACTCTATTCCACAGCCTGGCATGCTTCGTCCACTGACTTTGGCATGCTTCGTCCATTGACTTTGGCATGCTTCGTCCACTGACTTTGGCATGCTTCGTCCATTGAAATTGGCATGCTTCGTCCACTGACTTTGGCATGCTTCGTCCATTGACTTTGGCATGCTTCGTCCACTGACTTTGGCATGCTTCGTCCATTGAAATTGGCATGCTTCGTCCATTGACTCTTCACAGGCTTGACGTGTTTCACAGGCCAAGTGTCGGGTATCACGCGACCCGGCCGCAGGGGCAGGTCGCTCCATGCTGCTGCGGTGTCCACGACGTAGTGTGGCGCACTCCATAAACTAACGAAGGCACGAACAAACGTCACTTGTCTCCTCTCCCGCCCCCCCACATGTAAGTTAACATCAACATGTTCGTCAACAATCAACAAACATGAAAAAACAGTCAACATGTTGGTCAACAAACGTGAACAACAACATTCAACACACACAACAAAAAGAAAACAACTGCACGCCTCTGCCCACATGGCTGAGACACCAAAATGAAGAGTGTCATCAAGGCTGGCAACTTCTTGCTAAAGGAATGCATGTCATAGACGATCGGTGAGACTATCGGCTACTAACACTGTTTGCCAGGGCAACTAGAAAAAACACTCCAGACCCCCAAAACAGCCAGCTCGATTGGTTGCTCTGAAAGCTCCCAATAAGAATCTTAATCAGTTTGATCGGTCACAATTCGTTAGAGCTATTGATTATACTATAATATCGAACATGGTTGCCAAACTTGAGATAGGGTTGTCCATGCGCACAAAGATATTCGTGATAGTCTCTTCCCGAGCTCATCATTTCGAGCTGAGCAAGTCCGGTTGGACTCAATGTGTAGAACTGGCCCGGTTTCCTGGTTTCCGTGGCTTCATGTTTCCAATACATACTTTATACATGTACAGACATGGAGACTCAACTTGTTGATCCATGTCCCTATCATCCATCTGCATGCTCTCACCCATCGCCATGAAGGTAAGGTGCCCAGTTGGATATGACGATGAAAAGGGCGATGAAGAGCTGTGACACTGGGACCTGACCTCAGCCAAGCTCACCCAAAGCAACGCTGGAGCAATCCCACCCTGACCCGGGCCACCTTGGCGGCCTCAAAGGCAAAGTCCATTTAATTACATTGGATGTGTGTTCCAAAAAGGCTGCGTACATGGGTCTTGTTGAATCTATGAAAGGGTTTGGTGTTGTTCACAACACCCAAGCATACCCGGCCTGGCCGATGGGGCATGCGCCAAAAGGTAGGGGCTCGCATGCGGACCTGTATTTCTGTGACTCTGTTCACAAAAGCTTATGTTCATGGTAGCCATCGCCATCTCAAAATCTCAGCGTAGCAGGATCATTCCTGAAAGGAGGGTCACAATGGAATGACCCAAATGGTCCAATTACCATTCAACATCTGCCATCTCAAGTCCATCAAATGGTGAGATCCAACAGAATTCAACAAATTATATAGGACATCCGTTTGGTGTGTCCCACCAACCACCTTGGATCACCTTGGTGCCGAAAAAAAGCAGGAATTGCAGTCTTCCCCAAGCAGCAAGTGTTCTTTATGAACAGAAAACAATTCTGCCAACTGTCTGAGTTGTAGCCAACAACTCGCCGTGTATCAGTTGCAATGCCCTGCGTACATTGGATGACGAAACACATGGGATCAAAGTCCTTTGTGGAAACCTGTTTGAGCTGATCCTGTTTTGAAAGGACACAAGCACTATGCACTCTTCGAGTGGTTGTCAGTGTTGTCACCCAGACAGGCTACACAAGTACAACACCATCACATCCAATAATTCAATAAACACACTGATACTCGTCCAATACCTCTGCACATGTGCCCATGAGATCCCTTATATAATGAGATCTATAGACGGAGGACAATCTGGCTCATCACCGATCGAATGGCAACACAGATTGCCAGCTTGACGACCATTCCGATTCCGCGAGAAATCCGATTTCGCTCGGCCAAGACATCGCCGATGTTCTGCTCTAAGAGGCTGAGGAGGTCTTGCACCGGTTCGAAGTCTGAGTTCCTCACTTCAAAGCTTCATGTGTGGGGACGGCAAAGCTTTGATGTGCAACAAACCTTTGTTGTGGAGGGGGTATAGCCCCAACATGTACAATAGGGGTACCTCACCCAGGCTGGGTATTGACCTCAAGTGCAACATGGTGATGGGTATTGTCCATCAGAAGTTGAGAACATGCTATCAGCAGCATTCAGCAGCTACTTCTTAAGTTATAGAAGCAACCTAAATCCAAGCCAAATCTGAACATAGAAACATGGTCAAGAAACAATGCATTGTGCTACACGTTTCAAGGGATAAGGTACCTTGTTTTGCGGCGAGCTCGAAGGTGCTCGAAGTAGTCTGTGGCACACTCCTTCCAACCGTTAACCTGGACCATTGGTCTTTTTGTCTTTCAGTACATCATGCACGATCATGCACGCAACTTAAATTCATTTTCCTGGCACAACAAAAACCAAGCAGGCATCCCCTACCAGCCCTACCAAGCCCAACCACCCATGGTCCTCATGTCCGCCACACAAGACCCTCCACATGCGCAAAGGAAAACAACAAACTGATCTCAGTCTCCGCCCCACTCGGCAAAAATCCAAGGCACATCACCAGAAACAGCACAAACATCGATTGTCCAACATCGGGAAAAAGACCCTTCAAGTTCTTGGGCATCTCCCCATCAGCAAAAAGCATCCTCGGATTCGGAAAGCGCTTCGGAAGCGCTTCGGACGTTCCAGTCGTCTCCATGGGGCGAAGAAGGCCATCAGTTGAGTGTTTCAAACGTCTGGTTTTTGAGTTGGCCAAATGATATCGGTTGGGGGCAGATGATCCAACCACTCATATGCCAATGATCGTAAAGCCGAATTGTCCTGCGGTAGGTGAGTAGGAATTCTGTGATCCAACCAGGGTATGACCTATTTGGGACGGTGAGTAAGGTATGGAATGTCAGATGCCACGCCTCCCACCGAAAGACGTGTCTGGATTTGCTGGCAAGTTGTTTCTTCATGCAGGCGCTGGGACTAGTACAGAACTCGGACGTCCATCCGGGATCCCAAAAACACCTTAAAACATTCATGAACATCGTAACGTGTTTTTGCCGACATTGGGATGTTTTTGAATTCATGGATCAATGTGTGATCAACTTTTGGTCTTTCCCCATCAGAAAGGATGTCAAATGGGTTTTAGGATGTTTTGGGTAATATATATATATATATATTATATCACTCACTGTAATTATATCATTATATGTATATTACATATAATTTTTTTGCCAGCTAACCAGGGTTCCAGTTTGTAACCAGGGTTCCAATATTTTTGGTAATTTTCTTCACACATTGGCTAATTGTTACAAACTTGTTGCTTGTTCTTACTTTTTGTCACTACTTGACTGTTGCGTTTGCCCGCGTTTGCCGCTCCCCAGAGATTTGTGGATCAGTTCCGTCCGTGCCAACAACTGTTCACCATGGCCTTTGCGAATGTGGATGTCTTGAGTGAGTACAACCCTTACTTGCTGTTTGCATGCCACTGTGACTTTAACATGTGAACTGATGATGTGTGTAGCAGTTGCTTGTTGCCGTTGTTTGTATCTGTATGTGCGACCTGAGTTGTGAAGCGGAGATGCCTGCAGTCCCGGGGACCTACTATCCAAAGTGTGGCCGTTGTGACTTCAATGGCAAGGTAACGTCACGCAAACTACTTGGCTCTCCACAAGAAGACAGGGTGAAGCTTGACATGGAAATTGCAGCTTGTCATAACAGCACCTTGTACCTACAGCAACCACCTGAGCACATGGCACATCATCCACAACAAGCACACTATGTTTGTGAGCACGCACACACACACAAACCACCACCAACTGGCTGAGGTCCCTCCCAGGAAGCCCAAAGTTGCCGACAAGAAGGTGGAGCTGGTGATGAAGAAGTTTGTTTTGCAATCACTGGGTTGCCTGCGTAGACAGCTCAAGCCAAATTACAGCACAGTTTGCAAAACACAGACTGATCTTCATAACACTCACTAACTGGCTGACTGATTGACTAAGGGTGCTTCAGCGCGACTTACACAGCAAATCAAAACTATATCTCTAAGCGAGGCAAACAGGACTGTCCTTATGTGTTCTCGAGTGTGTTCTCTCCACATTTGAGTTGGCGCGTGGCCCCAGTTTTTGTGGGATTGTTTGTTGTCACAGGACCTGGCAACACAACTGTGGCACAGTTCATTGTTTACCCGGGCATGTAAGCTGGCCAACAAAAAGAAAACGGATGCCAAGTACCTGTCAGTTGCCATGGCTGAACATCTATCAGGCGAGTCTTTAAAACCTTGAACAGCTTCAAATGTTCAACGTCACTGTCCTGGTTTGGATGATATGATATGTGAGGCCTTCCGGTTGGTTGGAGCTCACCAAACACGCACCTCACTCATGCAGATGTGTTGTCAGCATGCCCTTGGAAGGACACGCCAGCCATTTAGCTTGCACCTGGACTTTGCACACACTTATAGTCACTGGATGCCCACTGCATACCCCATTGTTGCGCAACTCTGCTTGCGTGAGGTTTCGGCACACCGATCAATATCACTTTTCAGCGGTATAGGAGGCCTGGAGCTAGGATTGTCTGCGTCTGAAGCCCAGAAGTCTGGGCTCCAGAAGCCAGTGAGTTGTTGGTGGAAAGACTCAACCACCATCCCCACAACAGTCATTGCTGCTGTTCCATGAGGTTCTGCCAGCCAAAGGCATTTGACTTGACCTCAGCCTAATTGTATTTCCTGCGTCATTTGAGTGATTGCTGAATGCGCGGTGGCAAGGTAGAGATCGATGACCATTGCCGCAGTGTCATCCAGAAGCGGATGTCAGACCATTCCCTTGAGCCTGCAGAGTTACACGATGATGTCCGCACCTTTTCTTCCCAGTATTTGTTGACTGCAACTGGGATCACATGCGGCTTCCCATGCCAAGCGTCTCAGCTTCTATGGTACAGGTGCTTGCTGGTACTCTTGCTGCTCTTTGCTGTTGTATGGGTTGGGGTGTGGAAACTGAACTGATTGCTCCATGTATGCGCTTTCCTGAGGGGATTTCAAAAGCTGGTTTGATGGCCGGGCTGGATGACCCCAGGAGTTCATTGATTTCCCATGTGTGGAAGACCGCGGACAGCATGCCCATGTTGTAGCTTGTAAATCAAGAGTGGTTTAGATCAAACAAACTCTTTGCATGTATTGTGCAGTTGATGTCAGTGTCAGCAAACATCCATACAACACAATGCATTGGAGTTGCAGTTGATGTCAGCAAACACGCATAAAAAGGCAATGGATTTTCATCGAGAACGTGTTTGCTTTACTCTCCAAAGACATGGTGGACTTCATGGAGCACATCCTGCAGGAGCGCAGGTTGTTAATCGCAGAGGTTTCAGAAGTGTTGATAGCTCCGGAGGAGATGAGAAATCGCAGTATGCGGGTCAGATGGTGCTCCATCAGCGGCCACTGTGTGGGCGCACCGGTTTGGGTCTCAAAGACTCCTTTGTGTGTCACACATGAAGCCTTGAACAAAGCCTTGAACAAATGGTGTTTTCTTGCTGTCAGACTTGGCGCAAGCGTGTCTTCATTTTGGGCACGAAGTGTGGATTTGAGTTTGCTCAGGATTTTGTTTTGATGCACGCTTGTTGCTTCAACTACGTTGTGCAACTTGTGGTTGCCATGTTACTTGATGTTCTCAGCTTGTGCCTACTGTACTTGATCTGATTTTATTTTTGTTCGCCAGGACAACAGCCGCTTGATGACCGCGGATGACATTCGTGGCCTGTCAGGAAGACCGTGGCTGCCCCAGACAGGGCCAAAGACCATTTCTTGGTTGCAGCAATCCCTGTCCCCGGAAGAACATCGCCAATTGAAGTCCATGGGCAACATTGTAATGCCTCAGTTGGCAAACCTTGCCGCTCACTTGTTGAGTCAGATGTAACTTGAGTTGCAAAGCAACTGTGTTGTTGACCTGTGTGATCACTAGTGTCACTGGTGCTTACATCAGTGTAGTGTTGCGTAATTTGTTGCAAATGCCAATTGGCTTGGGCTTCAAGAGCGTGTCCACGATGAACGTCCATTGCTGGCACCTCAGATCGACAAAAAGAACGTTCACACTTCAGGGTTGAGTTGTAACATGTTGCTGAGGGCTTGTAACAATGGACAACACATGCTAGCAAGCAGCGTGACAAAGCAGCAGTTGTTTCAAGATGTTTCAAGCGTTTCTTGACGTTTCAAGTGTCCATGACATGTTGTGATATGTTTTCACTTGTGCAGTGCAGCAACAGTTGGGCTTGAGCAACATACAACTTTGACCTGTTTTGAGCCCTGCACTCTCGGCGCGGTCCACCTGGCTTGTTTGAGACGTTGATGCATTGAAACGCACATACAATCCATGGGTCCACTTTCACTGTTCTTGATTCAAGTCACTGTCGTCAACACTTGTGTGCTCAAAGCATTTTTGGTAGCTTAGCCACAGTGGGTGCGCTGAAAACAGTCCCCCGTGTCATTGGTGGTTATTATGACTCTTGCCACACCCTGAGCTCATAGATTAAAAATTGTGAAGGTACTCACAAAACGTGTTTCAATCAGTGTGACTTGCGCAGTGCTTCAAAGTGCAACACACGAGCCTTGCTGCGTCTGAGGTTGAACATGGGCGCCCTGTAGATTGCGATGACGTGCCTGTCTGAACCTCAGTGCATCGTTCAGCAGTCTTTGGGAATGGGTCTTTGGGGTGGCTTGTTTGTGAGAGCACTGTTGATTGGGTTGAGGGCTGTTGATTGCATGTGGTCTTACTTTTGGCACCTCATGTCACACAACCGACCATGGGCCCAAGCTACATGCATCAAAAGGCTCCTGGCATCTCCTCGCCATGGCCCGGGTTCAAGAACTACGGGAGCTGGTGCTTTTGAGGGAGGAGGAGCTGAGGTATGCCCAATGGAAGTTGGAAGATGCAAAGACAAGGTTGAAGAACGCAGAGGGTGAAGAATGGGCAAGGGAGCTGGATGATGCACAGGCGGCTGTACAAGCCCAGTCTGCTGTTGAGGGCAAGGCCGCGGGACCTGCGCCTCCATGGAAGAAGCGTGAGGCGGCAGCTCAAGGAGAACCTGTACCTCAAAAACCGGCACCTCCAGGAGAACCTGCACCTCAAAAACATGCACCTCCTATTACACCTATGGTCGTCATTCAAATTCCTGATCACGCGGAACCTCCTCAGGCAGCGCCTCATCAGGCAGCAGATGCTCAGGCAGCGCATCATCCTGCGGCATATCCTACCGCAGCGCCTCATCTGGCGGCTCACGCAGAACTTCATCAGGATGCACCAGCTCCAAGTGGTGCAAACAAAGCCCACACCAACAAGATCAGTGCCGAGTCTTTGATGAACGTTGCAAAGCAGGCTGCCTCTCGGGTGGCTGAGAGCAAGGATTGCCAGAGCCAATTTCCTCCTGTTCCTCCTGCTGTACCTCCTGCTGGCAAGACCTTTGAGGAGATGGGCTTGCCAATTCCACCTGCACCGCCGCCGGCAGAGAATGTGGCCACCCTGTGCCCGATTCGGTGTGACTGTGGTGAAGCATGCACAAGGATCGAACGCATGCTTCAGGAGCAGCAGAGGTGCCCTGAATATGCCCGCAAGCGGCTGAAGCACAATAATCACAAGTGCTCTGCCTGCCAACTACAGTGGCTGCAGAACAAGCGTCGCTCAAAGAGATGATGTGTAGCTCTGATGTGGAATGACTTTCTGGCAGGCAGCAGTGAGCTGGGCTAACAAAACCCCCAAGCAGGAACATTAATTCGATTATTACAATTAAATTCATCAAATCAAAACCAAATTTGCTCAAACCTTGTTTGTTGTCTTGCACAAAGCCCCCACAATTTCAATCCAACTTTGAATTTCTATATATTCATGGAATTCCAGTTGTTGCTGCCAGCCAGCCATAGTGGTCAAGTGTGCCAATTATCACTTGCGCTGCAACATGGAAAAAGAAGGTGCTGCTGATCTGATAGTGTGGGCATGCTTATTGTGTCATGTGAGATGTGCCCCAAACACCTCCCACATGCCCGCAACAACATCTCATCAAACAGCTCCTACATGCGCACACAAACGGCTGGGCTCCGAACGCTGAGGATTCCTTCTGGAGATTGGAAGAGGCCGCGCTCTCAAAGAAGTGTCCTGCAAAGCAAGTCTGTGCGTTGTTGCCCACAGGATCCCACACATCCCTTCATGCAACAGTTACATGCACACCTGGAGCTTGCTTCTTAGTTTAGTAATTGTTCCGAGCATATCTGACAAACAATTTGCTGGGGCATTCGCTTAGCATGGCCCAAGGAAGAAGAGGCTTCTTGAGGCTATCCCGCTGTTGTGGTAAAAATCCTGAACATTTCTTGAAGTCATTATAGCGTAATGAGCCAGTCCTCACTTTCAAACCTGTGTTGCAGGATAATGACCCCGCAGTTGTCCAAGAACGGGTTTGAGCCCTAGTCATTCAACAATCTTTGCACTAGAGGAGCTAACTTGCGACTTGTGATTCCATGATCCTGACATCACACCTTGACACTGTTGAGCAAGCAAGCACACCTCTAACTCAATCAATGGTCTTGACAACAAGACAAGCACTGTTACAACACAGGCCAAGAAGCGCAAGCTTGAGGAGACTGTGCGACTACAAGCTGACAATTTTCTGAATCAGGTGCTTTTAGGTGTTATAGATTTGTCCGTCCTTGTCATCAGAATGAACATTGCCAGATTCTTACCTTCATCGATGATGAGAAGAACAAGGGTGAGCACTTCCACCCCACTTGGGTAGCTTACAAGGTACACTTACAAACATAACTTTGGCAACTCAAGCAACACTGTTGATTCAGGTAGCTTCCATGGCTAGAATTGCTACAAGAAGATGGGACCGTATGTGCTGAGTAGGGCATCAAATAGCATAGCGGTCAATTCGGTGCAACTTTGGTCGCCGGTGCTGCATGTAACACAATGGTGTGGAGCGTGGTGGCCTGCGCATGCTGCACACATGTGTTCTTGCTGTTCGACAAAAAGTTTGATTCACGATGCTGTGTGTGTATAATTGTGGCAAGTTGATGAAACCTGTGTGAGTTGGGCATGCGGAAACTAACAACAATATGTGCATATCTTGGAGCCTTTGGGGTTCACCTTGCTAGTTTGATGGCCTTCGAAGATGTTGGTGAGCTGTCCGACGAAGATGACACTTTGAAGCGAAGACCTTTGAAGCGGCCATGGTTGGGAGTCAAGGTTGTGAAACCTGGGGCCACGCGTTTGTTCAAAAAGCCTCAACCTATATTTCAACCTTGTGGTGAATCGTCAAAGCCGCTGCAGAAGCATGACATGGTAGGCCGTGCCCGTGCTATCACTCAAGGCAAATGCAGGTGCAGCAAGAGACGACGGGCTCACAATTGCTTTGAGCCATTCAGGCATCCAGGCAAGTTCAATGAGTTGATCGGGCACCTCCGCTACCTGGGGCACATGGACAAGATGGAGGTCGACAAGGAGGCCAATAAACTTAAATCCGTCGCGGTGTCGGCCTCACACTCAACAAGGAAACACCACAGGGATTGCTCTTCTGTAGCTGGGACTTGCTTGTGTTCACCTTGTGTCAACTTGTTGGTTGTCACTGTTTGGTTTGGCAGGCATGGGGAGCCCTGCAACATGCTTATGATGGGTACAAGATCAAGAAGTTGTCTCTACTGGGTCATTCCGTGTGTCAGCGCGCCTTCAAAAGCTTGCTGCGTTTGGGTTCAGGGAGGGTCAGACGGTTGGTCGAGTCTGTTCGTAATGCAGATGAATCTTGCCCCATGGACATGCGATATTGCAGCAAGAAGTTTTCACCGGCCATGGACTCTCCCAAGCGACAGCTCGTGCATGATTTCTTGCATCACATCTGCCAAACGTTAGCTGAGCCAATGCCGGAAGGCACAGGCGCTTCCAAGCGTCCAAGAAGTGTTAGAAAGAGGGACGACAAGCTCATGATGCGTCGGACCAATCTGATTGAGAAAGCATTGCCACCGGGATCATTCTACGAATACCTGGCCATGCTGCGGAGACAGCACCCGCATGAGACGTTCTCTTACAAGCTCTTTTGTAACGTGCTAAACTTAGTACCTATGGTTTTGACAGCAGTCTTGACTAGTTGATTGAAATTGCCTTCAACACCTTGCAAGGTTTGGGAGCATAACTTCGGGGACATCTTGAAGCTGCGCAGTGATTCTGCGCACGTGAAGTGCACCATCTGCGTGCGCTACAAGCTCATGGTGAGGAAGTTGGCTCGCTGTGGGGTTGCAAGGGAAAAGCAGGTGAAACTCTTGGAGCTTCACCGTGAGAAACAGTATCTGGATAGGGTCACATACTGGCACTCCCGGAACGTTGCTAGAAGCCTTGCGGGCTTCAGTGCTCCAGAGACTGTCGTTTTGATCTGCGATTCAATGGATTGCGCAAAGTTTACATGGCCGAAGGACCAAGCCTTGCACGCCAAGGAATACAACCGCTTCATTGCTCCCAAACTGACTGCAACTGCAGTCATAGCCCATGGCCATGACATGTTCCTCGGACTCTCATTGTCAGGCGTTGCATCGGACAGCAGCAGAACAGTTGACTTGTTGGCCAGGACTTTGGAGAGATTCCGGGAGCGTGGACAGGATCTGCGAAACGCAGAGATTCTGATCCAGGGAGACAACGGGCCGAAGGAGATAAAGAACAATTGTGTCATCCGGTACTTGAGCCTCCTGGTGTCTCATCACAAGATCAGAAGGGCAGAGGTCCGGACTTTAATGTCCGGACACACACACGAGGATGTCGACGCCTTCTTTGCAAATGTGGCAGCAGTTCTCAAGCAGGGTGCGCAATGCTTACACACACCCTTTGACTACATCCGAGTCCTTCAGGAGTATCTTCTTCGGGATGATGTCAGGCCAAACGAAGGTGATTCAGAGGTGGTTCTAGTCGACCAAGTGAGAGACTGGAGCCTTGAAGTATAGATAGAACTAAGTTGTGGTTATCGGTCCACTGTCACTTATAATGTATTCTTGGATGTTTGTGATTTGTGCTGCAAGCAAACGTACATCGTTTTACTACTAGATTGTCCTAGGAAATCGTTCTTGCAGCTCCATTGCCGCAACAACACTATTGTGGGAATTGGCGGCCCCTCTGCACCACATGTGTTCGCTTTGGATCGAGTTGATGACTTGCGCGCCACACTTGGAATGAGGGTTGATGTTGACAACACACACACACACACCATCGCAGGTGCTTGCCGTTTCACCATCGTGTGTTCCAGGTGTTCAACATGCAGACATCAACACAAAGTTCTGGCGCCGGCGGCGGGCAAGCTTTGGTGGGAGTGATGTGGTCTTGAGGAGCCTTTTTGCACACAACATGGACCTGACTTCACTTAGTATGCATCGCAGGACCAAACAGAATCTTTCGGATGCCAATTGGCAACCCGAATCGCTGCTTTACTTGCCAGCGAGCGTTGCTGATCTCACACGAGGGTTGACCATTCCAGGCCAGGTTTAATTTCATTCACGGTACCCATTGCAGCTGAACCCATTGTGACTGCCAGTTCTAACCTCCGATCTATCTGAACCTGTTGGACACTGTGATGACGTGCTCAAGTATGCAAACCTGATGCGTGGGAATCTCAACAAACTCTCTTGTAGTGTTCTGTACTTGTCAGTTTAGCTCTTTGCTGAGGAATGCACCCATACTGCATGCACCGGGCAGCGGAGTGTTTGCAGAAATGGGCCACAGGAAGTTGGGATTTGCAGCCACCCTTGAAAGTACATTGGCAAGGGTCTCAAATGAGGTGCAACCACAAAGCTCTTTACAGGTTCGACCGTCATTACTCAATGACTTAAAACTTAAACTAAGGTCTTTGCCTGCCTTCGGGCCCGCGGTTGGGCCTGGCCCCAACACTGATGGTCTTGACCTGGTGCAGAACCTTACCCCTGTGCCCTCACTACCTGAACTTGACATGTTCTGTTGTGGCTTGGAAAGTGCATCCACTTACCCTTGGAAGGTACCTGCCGAAGTGAGGTTGCTAGCGGGCAATCCTTTGGGCGGGGCGGAACTTGTCCGATACAAGTCAGTTCATGCGAAGTCTCTCGTGTATAGAGCGGCTGCTCGCTTGTGGGCCTGTGGACTAGATTGGGAAAGCGCTTACACAGTGGCAAACGATGCCTATCAAACAGCACAAAGCATTTGCGGCTGATCACCCACTCCAACAGTTCATGACAGCGTCTAAGCAGCTCACCTTGCAAATACCTTCAGCAAATTTCAACTGGAGATGTTATTTGGTTGTTGCTCATTTGTGGTGATCACAGGCAAGAGGTTATGTTTTGGATCGACCTCCCAATGTTCACAATGTTCAATCTAGAATGAGAAGAGTATGGTCGTCTCAATTGTGACTAGTCTCGGCCCAATCTTCATTTGTGAAGGGGTGGGGTCTGCCTCGGCTGAAATATCTGTGATGGGAGGTCATCCTGTGGACTTGGGGGTGCCATGGTTGTGTGAAACACAGCCATGGTCATGAGAGGCAGCCAGTTTGTGATGAGGAGGGACCTGACTCGGCTGAAACCTGCCTGGTGTGGGTGAAGTGGGATTTTGTGAAGATCCGGGTCCAACCTCGTCACAAAAGGTCATGCTGTCACTGCGGGGTCGTCACAAATCCAATGGTTGCGGGACCGTGGTCGTCACAAAAAGTTGGATTGCCGGGTTGACCTCGTCACAAAACCTTTGTTGCCGGGCTGGGGATCGTCACAAAACCTTTGTTGC